AACCCCATGCATTGTGACTATTCAACAAGAACCCGGCTTAGTGCAATGTACTGTATGTATGAAGTAAGTCTTGCCTTCCTATCTGTCAAATGCTTACAGCCTGTTTATTTTTCTTTGTCTTCAGCCTTCCTTCAATAGGCAACAAGGTAAGAAACAGAGAGTGACTCAAGAATCTGCTTCAGCCACATCTTTTTCAGCTGTAATTAAGAAAAAACTCTGAAATAGCCTCCCCAGTGGCTTATCTTTGTTTGCTTTCAGACAAGCAACATGTTAGAAAAACAATAAATAACTTCACATTGTTTTATGATGTAATTCTTTTCAATTTGTTTCAAGATTTTTTGTTGCATTTTAAAGTTCTTTTTTAATTTTAATGGGAGGAGACTCAGCGCCTTAACAAAGATCAAAGATATTAGAACTATGCAAAGTATTCAAAATAACGGCTTTATAAACATGTTAGGAGTCACCAACCTTTTGGGCCTCAGGGACCACTAAATTCATAATTTTAAATCCCACAGACCGTTAATATGATCTGCCTAATGACCGGCTGGGTGGTTGTGCCTAGGTGGTCATGTGACTGAGTGGGCGGGGCCAACTTGATGTCACTCACATCGAGGGGCATCACACTGGCCTCTTCTTGCCCCTCCCCTCTCAACCACTCCTTGCCTGCTTGCCAGGGCTCCTTAGGGCCCCAGCAGGAAGCAGTTGTTGGAGCTAAGTAGCCCCCATGAGAAAGAGTTGGCAAAACAGCTGGCTCAGTTCAAATTGGATCTGACCGAGGAGGAGGCTCAGCAGAAGCATTTCACTGAAGCCTACGAGAGCACAGGCTTTCCAAGCAGAGGGAAGACCTGCAGGTGTGTAAGGCCAGGTAGTGGTGCCTGGAGGCTCAGCAGGCTGAGATGGTCAGCCAGTTCCAGGCCATGATGCAGTCCCACTGGAACAAGGCCCTCCAGCTCTTTGCCACCAGCAGCACTTCCCTCCAGCCTTTGCCCAAAGCCCTGCACCAGGAGGCTGAAGCAGACCCCAAGTCGGAATTTCTGCCCCCCTCTGACCTGCACAAAAAGACCCCGATGGGGGAGACTCTCTGCAGCAACACAAATGTTCATTGCACATATCCGACCCAGGGGCAGTAGTTTGAGGATCCCTGATTTAGCGCAATATAAAAATGCAAATAATTTTTCTGCGGACCACCAAAATTTTCTCACGGACCACCAGTGGTCCACAAACCACCAGTTGGAGACCACTGTGTTAGAGCATGTATCACAACTCTGTTTGAAGACAGCTGGCTAACTTGCTTCCTGATGTATCTTTTTAAAATGTTTTGCAAGACACAATACTTAAGACCCGATATCTGAAGACTCATTTTTCAATACCGTGAAAAGGCTCTTCTTCTCAGGCGTAGAGGGCTGCAGCCTCCTGTCCTCAGTCTGTGGATCTTGGACTTTCTCAATACCAGCTCCAAGGAGTTCATTTTTTAGCAAGGCGGAGTAGGCAAGGCCATCTGCACAAACAAAAACCTTGTCAAACAGCTTGGCCATTTCTTAAAAAAAATAGGTTAACTGGAAGCATGTAGCAACCTACAAAAAAAGCCGCGCAAAAAATATTTTTTCAAAACATTTTTTAAAAAAGAGAGAGACATTTAGAATAGAATAGAATAGAATAGAATAGAATAGAATAGAATAGAATAGAATAGAACAGAACAGAACAGAACAGAATAGAATAGAATAGAATAGAACAGAACAGGTTCACTGGCCAAGTGTGATTGGACACACAAGGAATTTTATCAAAGATATTCGTAATCAGGAGGTTGGAGACTGAATTTCAAAGTTAGCCAAATCTGTTTTATTGGCAATGTTAGTAAAATTAACAAATGGCTACTGTTATTATATTTAATTAACTTACAAACAAGGGACATAATTTTTTTAAAAAATATTATTTCCAAAAGATATTAGTAAGCAGGTGGTTAGAGACAACATTTCAAAGTTAGTTGAATCTGTCTTATTCTGAAGAGCTAATATATTTAATTACAAACATGAAAGATGAGTATAAGTAATGCTGAGATCTTATTAACATTAGTTAAGGATCCCTTATTCTTCCTTAAAACTTATATTGTTTTGGCAAAAGCTTACGCCTCTGCTAAATATCTTCCTCATGGCTATTATGTAGTGTCCTCCCCCAATGTCTATGGAGATTCTCAGTCATCCAGGTCAAGATGGCAAAGACAAACAGCAAACCAGGGTACTGCAGTCTAGCACAAACCAGCCTACCCCAATCTCTTCAGAGGGCCTAAGGCATGCAAGCAATAGGCAAGATATGGTCTCTACCTTTGCCATTGTCTGAAGTGGCATCTTTTGCTTTTCTATTTTGACTTGGAGACTTTTCATTTTCCTAAAAATGCAGATAAAACAATTAGCATGCGCCCGTTTTGAGAATTTCCAAACTTCTTTTTGCTTTCAAAAGGCAATATAATTGTTGTAAAGCTTTCTAAGCAGCCTCACTGCAGAAGATTCTGAGTCACATATCAGAGATTCTACTTTGGCCACTTGCCAAATTTGGCACTACTTATACTCCCTTATTTCCCTAAATTTAAAAATTGTTCCAGAATCTATTTTTCCCTCTTCAGAGCTTAGACATTTTAGAGAAATATGTAGTTCAAGGAACATTATCGATTACAGCTGTTCTTTTCACCCAGAAATTCTAGTATTTTTTAAAAATGCCAAAAGTTTTCAAAACACCTCTTCAATAAACATTGCTATCCATTCACTCAGCTTGGTTTTATATTTTGCTTTGCAGCTCCACTCTCTGCTTTCAAAGGTAAATAGGCTGCACCAAGGAGGAGACTATTCAGACTATTCTAAAAGCTGTTATCAACTGCCCCCCCCTCCCTTTTTCATTCAAATCAGCTTTTTTAAAATTTACAGTCTTTCAATACCTATCAAACAATTCCTGCATGTATTGTTTTCCACTGATTTTAGGATATGTCTTACTGGTATATATTTATAACCAACTACTAAGAAAAAAAATCTTACTTGTGTAAATTGGATATTTTTAAATAACTAAACCCATCTTCAAGCAGTCACTTGAAGTTCCTCAGCATTTTTAAGATCCAAAAGCCTTGCATCACAACTCCTGACACTCTGAACATCTGGACAAACCCTGCTTCACACATAAAAAAAATCCCCAAATTTGACCATCATCTCCACCTCCACGTAAGTAACTGAAATTATCCTTCTAAAAACTTGGAGAGGATTGCCAGCCTGATTAGACATGGTAGGCAGGATAACCTGATTCTTGACAATCTTGGTCATGACAGTCCTAAGACATATGGTACCCTCCATATGGTTCAAGATTACAACTTCAATCACTGAACATGTTATTTTCTTTTGGATACTATCAAACATTTAAGGGAAACCATGACTGTAAAATATATATTTAAAACAAAACAAAACAAAACAAAACACACAAATGTAATGACCAACAGGATGGAAGAAAATATCATGTCAAATATTTGGGAACACCCCATCATCCACAACCAGTCAACCAACTAAATGGCTTTTCTGCAAAGCTCACATTTATTCTATGGAAGCTGATGCTCCAATTTGCTCCCGCTCGGGAAGGAATGAATCTGTCACCATGTTTACTAGGGGAGGAGACGGGTGAATTAGAAGGTGTCAGGGTCCTCCTCATATCTGTAACCTGGAATTTTGAAAGAGCAAGAATGGGAGGGAAGGAAAAAATCAGAAAAGCAGCCATTGGAAATCCACAACAAAGACCAGTGACAAAACAGAATACAACTGCATTAAAAATGAAATCCAGCAATTACAGAAAAACAAGATTCCAGAATCTTTATACAGCTTGTCCTTGACTTACAACAGTTCATTTACTGAACGTTCAAATTTACAACACTAAAAAAAAGTGACTTATGACCGTTTTTCACACAAATGTTGCAGCCTCTTCATGAACAGGTGATCAAAATTTGGATGCCAAGCAGTTGACTCATATTTATGACGGTTGCAGTATCCTGGGGTCATGTGATCAGCTTCTGCTACATTCTTACAAGCAAAGTCAATGGGAAAACCAGATTCATTTAACAATCATGTTACTAACTTAACAACTGCAGTGATTCACTAACATCTGTGGCAAGAAAAGTTGTAAAATGGGCAAAATTTACCTAACACTTGTCTTAAATTTAATAGAAATTTTGGGCTCAACTGTGGTCATAAGTCAAGGATTACCTGTATATTATATGAGCTTGGCACCTTTGTATAGCTTACCTCATTTTGCACTGTTGTGTTTATATATTTTTTAACTTTGATTCCAAACTAAGTTAATTTAGGACCACTAATCACACAAAGACTTTCTGGGCAAAGTAGTAACCTTACATATACCTAATTAAAAAGACAATCAATCAATAAACAAACAAACCTTAAAGGGAATTATATTTCAGCAAGTACAACTGAGCAATATTTGAGTAAAATAATCTTATAATCTGATTATTAGAAGAGATAAAATAGTAAAACCTCTCCAATCATGTCAAACCAAAAGTCCAAATACGGTTAATTTCTAGAAATACTGATTGTGTCCATTAATTAACCTCTGTGTGTATGTGTGTCATTCAGTGCTAATGATCACTTTTTAATACAATAGTATTTCTTCCACTAGAAACTATTTAACATTCCTAGCATTCTAAAATTATGAGTGAAATAAGGGTACCCCATTTTTAGCATTTGCTAGGATAATGCAAGCCACCCACAAAATTGCAGGAAAGGACAACAAAATCTTCACATTTAAAAGCTATTTCAATGGCACAAAAGCCTTGTTATTTTATCATCTGTTTGGGCTGTTTTGGTTTTTTTTAATTTTCAGAGCCAAAATCTATTATTGAATAAGTACAGTAAGTGTATTAAGCAGGGGAGTACAGAATGTTCTGACTTTAAATAATCACCCATTCCAGCTTAGGAAGGTCCATTCTGAATACTCCAGATAGGATTCAACCTGTCACTTTCAGAGCTGTGAATCCTTTCTGGACATTTAGAACCACTTAAGAGTATTCAGAATGGATTCGAACACCTTATTTGGATCATTTAGTGCACAGTTTAATCGAGTTTACTTAGGATCATACTAACAATACATAATCTTGCAAAATTATTTTTTATATTTAATATATATTTGTATATTTTCATCACATTGCAGAAAGATACAAAATGAGTACTAAATTTCAATCATCTCGTATCACTCAATTTTTTAAAACAAAAAGAAAATACCGAATTACTGAAAAACCCCATTAAAATATATGAATTGGAATGCTTCCTCATTCATTTCATTTTCACTCTTCTGTTGTGAATATTCCAATATTTGGCTACTAGCATTAAATATAAAGATGCATTACATTATTTTAATGAGACCTTTTAGATTTCTCCAAAGCAACAGGAACATTCTGAATGACTAATTGAACATTTGAAAATATACAAGTTTCTTCTAATATGAGTTCCGATTTCTTCTGTTGCTTCTTTCATCACTTTTCTTAGACACATAACCACACACAGTTTTCCCAAGGCCTTACATAACCTCTCAAAACAGGGATGCAACCCTGAGAGATCCTGAAGTTTCCTAACTCTTTAGAAGTTGCCACCAATTATTATTTTACAGTTAGGGTTAAATTAAAATACCAGAAAGTTTAAATTAAATGCATTTTCTACCACTCCCTGTTGTTGAACTACACCCCTCTCTAAGATACACTTTATGATTGCAAATACAACAGTACAAAACTAGGTAATCATCTGCAACTTAATCATGTAAACAATTGAGCATGTTTTTGCTCTTTAATATCTCTTGCACATGAATCTTTTTAGAGATGTATGCCACAAAAGAAGGGTTTTATTTCTTGTACCATATACTGGAAAATTTTAAATGCTTAATATTTACAGAAGGCATCATGTTTTCATTCTGGATGTTGATCTGACGGAGAAGACGCCTTTCATAGTCTTGATCCATGATGGACAGATGCAGGACAGGGGGGGAAAGAGCCAAGGTGTCTTATAATAGTCTCACACAATTTTTTTGTGCATGGAGACCAGGGAGTGACCAATAGGCTGCAAAGAAAAAGGCAGAACCAGTACATCAAACTCCAAGCAGTTGAAATGTTAAAACTAGCATGTTTTATAATTGTGAGCTATAATTTCACTTTTAGTATTTGATGATACCTATTTTCACTTAGTTACAATGGATTTACCCACTGTGCAAATTGCTCATTTATAGACATGATCAAGCCCGGATCATCTTATGTAGAAATTAGAAATGTTTTTCCCAGGCTACAAGCAAAAAAGTTGTGTAGCCAAAGTCTACTTATGTGTTAAAATCAAGGTGTGATTGGCATCATTCTTTTATTAGCTGAGGGGATTGGCTGGGACTAATTCTAGGAATCCATTGCTCTCCATACAATTAAACTTGTAAATTTAAAAAAATCACACATTTCTTCTGTGACTCTCCATTCTCATGATCTATTACAGACAGTAAACTCAGTGTTCACCTGTTTATATGTGGTCAAGCAGGGCTCTTCAAACTTGACAGTTTTAAGACTTGTGGACTTCCAGTCCCAGAATTCCTCCTTCAGTCATGTTAGCTTGGGAATCCTGGGAGTTGAAGTCCACAAGTCTTAAATTGCCAAGTTTGAATACCCTTATGGTAAAGCATCATGGATACTACAAACAATTCAAAATATCCTTGCTGCTATTTAAATTGGAAAGCTGGGACTTAAAAAACCTCGAGAACTAAAGCTTAAAAAGTTTTACCCAACTCTGCAATGTTTCTCTGCAAAATCACGGCAAATACACTCAAGATCCTTCAATGCCTGTGCATACCTACTACCAATGAAACCTTATATTACTTGAAGTCAGTTTTGACTACGAGGAATGCATAGCCAACATTTTGTTTGCAAAAACATTAATCCAATATTTATGGCAAAATAAAATACTATAAGAAAAAAGAAATGAGAACTTATAATTGTCATTTATGTGTAAAAATATGCAAAGCCATGTGTATCCTCCTCTTTCCTCACCTGAAATACCAGAAATTTCTGAAAGTCGTAGAAAATATTTATTTTCCATATTCAAAATATGTACTACTTAAAATGTGTTTTTGCACCTTACAGAACTACAACACAAGGTCTTCCTTGCCCCTCTGAATGAACTATGATCTTGTATGCAGATGAATTTTGATCAACTTTTCATTTCAATCTGTCTCTCCTGTCTGGTTTACCTGACACACCTTGAAGTTATCTTTAAGATCCGTGACCAGCAAATGGCATCTGAGTAAATTTACTTAAGACTTTCTCTAGATTCCATAAATGTGCCAATTCTAGGCCTTCCTTAGACATGAAAGACACCTGGGTGACTTTGGGCCACTGGCACTCAAGACCCACCACCACACAGATTTGTTATGTGGAAAATAGAATGCACGAGTATCATCTATTTGTCACCCTGAATTGACCAAAATATATAAAAAGCAGCATATAATTATTATATACATAACAGTGTGAAATCAGTTGCCAGTTCTTTAGCTGGTGTTGGCCTTCGTACAGAGTTCCTCCTGAAATAGAACTCAGGATGTAATATATTATTAAAATGGATGTGCAGATCTTTAAAAAGTGCCCTTTTGTGATTGATGGAAATTGTTGTCAGTGCAGGGATTTTGTAAGTGCTGTCAAGATTTTTTTGGTATGGCACCCAGTGTGCCAATAAGCACTGTAATTATTATTAATTATCTGACATGCTAAATTAGCAACATCTGTTGTCCTGAAAGGGCGTTGCATTAACATTCGTAACAGGTAATATTTGCCTGATAGAAATAGTTTTTGTCAACGCTTATACAAAAAGCCAAAATAAATTATAACTATATATTTTACATTATTATAGCAGTGAACTGACAAAAAATGCATGCTGTGCATCCTCTCTATAATTTTTCCTGATGAAAAAACAAAAGATTGGGCATTTTTGTCCTATGACTTCAATTTAAAAAAAAACTCAAAAATCACACATATATCCAGTCAATCCTAATCATCATCCATCAAGAGCACCCCTGCTTAAAGCCCCCAGCTTTCCTTTACAACACCTAATTCCCAACTTCTTCAATTGACACAATGCCTCCCCATCCCCTAGCCAACTGATCAGGGTTCAAACCCAAGTCCAATTAATTCAAGACATTTCCACATCTTAGCACAAAACGGTTTTTTAAAAATGCAATGCACAAGTGGGCAGTGTTAAACAAATACAGATAAATATAATTCTTCTCCCAGATTGCCTCTATATGCTATACATGGGGATTGGGGGGCGGGGGGAGAGAGCGAGCTGCGCTTAAGCATCTATCACTGGACTATGGATGGAGATAACCTGCAGGGATCGGAGAGATATGGGGAATTAACCCTCAGCCTCCCTCCGCACTCTAAATCGCTTTCATTACAGAGAACAAGAGATCCTCCCCAAGAGGCTGGTAGGACAGGGGTTCCTCGAGCTGCCTCCCTCTCCTCCTTATTCACCCATCACCTTAAATGCCTGTCAGCCTGAACGCTCCCGTAACAAGACAGCCCTCCCACCGCATCCAAGCCCAGGCAGCCCAGGCAGCCCCGTCGCCACATCAACACGGGGATGCAACGGAGCCTTTCTCCAGAAGCCCCCCGCCCACTTTCACCTGGGCGCAAAAGAGAAAAGAATGGACCCGCAGGTAAGGAAAATATAAACCCTCCTCCCTCTCACCTGCCCTCAGCGAGAGCCATCCAATATGGCGCCGATTCGATTCTCTTGCCCACCCCTTTTCCCCGCCCACTCTTCGTTCCTCATCACCACGCGCAAGGCGTCACGGGAAGATAAGTCCCCCCCCTCCATCCTCCTCCTCCTGCTCCTCCGCCTCGCTCGCTGATTCGTCCCGTTCGAATCAATACAACTCAGAGGGGAACGTAGCCCTAGCAACGGTCCCGAGGCCTAGGTGGAATCCAGCGAGCCTGCTTTGCGCGAGATACCGAAGCACAGCAGTACGAGAGGAAAGGCGGGCGGGGCGGTAGCAAATTGGGTCACGGAACTGGCTTTGCCCTTCTTCCTCCATATAGAAATCCGATGGGGGGGCGGGAAATGGAGGTGAGAAAGGAGGGGTGTTCCTAACATTGGGATGGTTTTTAAAGGAAATGGGGAGGCTCTGAAAATGTGTCTGAACAGTTTGTTCACTTGTATGTTGCACTGAAAATCATCAAATAGAAATAGAACGAAATTGGAGAGAATCTGATGTTGCAGTAAAGATCAGGTCTTTAAATGCCCCCTCTGTAAAAACTCTGGATGTTTGCCTGTTTCTCAGTCTATTTTACCGCAAAGACAGGAAGGAGAAAATAGAGAAGAGGAAATTGGGGAAGGAGGATGACAGGGTTTATAATAACAATTTTTGAGGTACTTGTGTGAAAATATTTTTTAATGTTGACCATTAAGCCTCTGGATAGATGCAGGCTCAGCCATTGACTAGTTTATTAATAAGGTATGATCTGTGTAGTGGATGGTATTTACAAACTATGAAGTGCAGTTCTCTACCGAAAGGATAAGATCAAAAACAATAACTACTATATAGAACATAATGAATACAATATAATATCCTGCCATAAGGAGACAGACTAATGCTGGGTAGAGAACAGCTATGAAGGTCTTGAAAAGAATAAACAGCCTAAAATTCCAGGTAACAAGATGCTGGATGTATCTATGCCTACAAAAGAACAGAATTGTGCAAGCCATGATATTCCCTGTGACGCTTTATAGAAGGGAAAGTTGGACTTTAAAATGCAGGATAGAAAGAATATTGATGCTTTTGAGCATTAATGTTGCAGGAGACCCTGAACATACTGTGTACAACTAAGAAAACAAACGGATCATTGAATAAATCAATCTAGAGATCTCATTTTGAGGCAGAAATGGCCAGGTTCAAATATCCTACTTTGGACAGACCCCACTCTCTGGAAAAGGGTGCAGTGTTGAGAAAAGTGGAAGGAAAAGTGAAGAGGATGACCAGCAGCACAGGGAATGGCTTAGTTACAATGGTGATGATTGTACAGAAAAGTAAAGTCCTACACCTAGGCAAGAAAAACCAAAAGTACCCATATAGACTGGGTGAAACCAGGCTTAATAGCAGTAACTGTGAGAGGGATCTTGGAGTCTTAGTGGACAACCAGCTAAATATGAGCCAGCAGTGTGCAGCAGCAGCCAAAAAATCCAATGCAATCCTAAATTGCATTAACAGAGGGATACAATCGAGATCAAGTGAGACACTAATACCATAAAGCCTTAGTAAGATCACACCTAGAGTACTGCATCCAGTTTTGGTCAACACACTATAAAAAAAGATGTTGAGACTCTAGAAAAAGTGCAGAGAAGAGCAACCAGGATGATTAGGGCGCTGGAGACTAAAACATATGAAGAACGGTTACAGGAACTGGGCTTGGCTAGTCTAGCAAAGAGAAGGACCAGGGGAGACATGATAGCAGTCTTCCAATATTTGATGGGCTGTCACAGAGAGGAAGCGGTCAAACTATTTTCTAAAGCACCTGAAGGCCAGACAAAGAATAATGGATAGGAACTGAACAAGAAGAAATTTAACTTGGAAATAAGAAGAAACTTTCTGACAGAACAATCAACCAATGGAACAGCTTGCCCTTGAAAGTTGTGGGAGCTTCATCACTTGAGACTTTCAAGAAGAGATTGGACTCCCATCTGTCAGAAGTGGTGTAGGGGTTGGACTAGATTGATGTACAAGGTCCCTTCCAACTCTGATTATCTGTTATCTGTTATGAGAGCACTGTTGGGAGGCTTGAAAGAGTGGGTTAGGGACTGCCCATCATGGAGGAAATCTATTGAGGTCACTAGGAGTTGAAAACATTCTGTACTTGATTGTACAAAAGCAATCAATCATAAGGAGATAACAGTGAAGGGAAGAGTTGAGACAGAGTAAACAACAGAAGAATGTTTATTTGAATTGTGTATAAGTAGGCATATTTGCTTATTATATATTTCTTTTTAGTATACTCTCTTGGACATACATTGTACTGTTTTGCAACCAAGCTATTGCAACATTCATCTGGGAATAAATCCCACTGAATATTAGAATATTTATTTCTCAATAAATCCACTAGGTGGCTATAGGCAAAACTATTCTTGTTGAAGTTGGCCACATATTTTTCATCTTAGTTGTTTCAGTTTGAACTGGAAAGTGGCCCACATAATGCCAGGAGAAGAGAGGAGAAAGATGGTGAGGGGAGAGGGAGAGAAGAAATTGAGAAGATATCTAGGTAAATTTTATAAAATGGTTAGATTAATAATTGTTCTGGGATCACTGTTAACTATTGTTAAAGTAAATGGCTTTTATATGCCCCTGAAATACTTGGTCTTCCAGGTGCAATTCAGGTAGAACATCTTAATGGAGACATGCCTTTTCCATCATCATTCCTGTGCTTTGGAAAAGAATCCCCCCTCATCCAGGTTCATATAGCCTCAGTCCTGCTGTCTGTCTGTTCCAACTGAATTAAGATTATTCTTTTTTCCCCTGCCACAACCACTTTTGATAATGTTTTTAAAATAATTTTAGTATTTGTTTTAAGCCTTTTCCCAGAGTAGTTGGTAGAGGGCAGAGGTTAGGCATAGAAATAATAAATTTAAATCACTAATTTGCTTTTGGCCTCTTTTCTAAATCCAGTTTTCCTCTGTCATCTAAATCTAAGTTATCACAGGAAATATGTAGAACAAGAAGTCTGGTTTGAGCAGTGGCATTCCATGGAATCAGTGCTTTTATTAAGCAATTTGGAATGCAAAAAACCCTCCAAAAGTCGCTTCCTTTGTTGAAAAAATAAGTTTAAAAGTGGCAAATAGCGATCACTCTAAGCAATAAAAAGAGCGCCAGTTTTGTATAAGGTTAAGGTGGTGTCCTAGAAACCAGGAATTCTAGTCCTGCTTTAGGCACAAAAACTAGCTGAGTGACTTTGGACCAGTCATTCTCTCAGCCCAAACTACCTGACAGCATAGTTGTTATGGGGAGAATAGGAGGCAAGAATTTAGGAAAAATCCCTTCTTAAACATTTCCCACACTTTCTGTGGGCTGGGACATCTACTGGTTGTTGTGTGTGGCTTTTCTTCCTGTCTCCCAAAGTAATTCTCTCTACCATTACACATTATGCCTTTATAGACAACAACCATCATATTTGGAATCCTGCATACAGAACACCTGTCTTATCTGGGCTGCAGAAATCTAGATGACTGTTAAGGTGGCAGCATAAAAAGGAGTTTTTCTCTTTGCTGCCATCTTGCTGGATTTTTGTAGCTAAGATCTAGAATAGGGGCGGCATCAAGTGATGTATTGGGACTTTTTCCTCCTTCGCTAAACTGGGCATGGGCATGTGACGCATCTGGCCTGTGGGCCAGGAGTTTGACAGCCCTGATCTAGAAGCTCTATAGACAACACTGGGCACTACACATCGCAAAAAGAGCATGTTAAAATTGGAGGGAAAAAGGGCAATCCAATCTGGAGTCTAAAATGCCAAAAAGATTTTGTGAAGAACACTTACAAGGAAAAATTATAAATACTAACACTTTATTTAAAGCCTTGCACATATACCACTTATGGCATTTACTGCTAATGACAATTTTGCTCCAAGTATGTGTATGCTATTGATGCAAATTAGGATCTCTAATTTAGAGACTACCTTGCAATTCACCATATTTGGAGAGCATCCAACAAACCAAAGTATTTCCTACTCATATTCCACTTTTCTGCCCGTAGCATATGTTTAAAAGGTTAACTCATAGAGCAGGAAGAATGAATATCAACCGTATGTACATGTGGAGAATTAAGGAACTTGAAGAATTGTTATGTTTATTGCAAGGCATTTTCTAAGTTGATTCACTTAGATCAGGAGTGTCAAACTCACATCGTCATGGCAGCGTCACGTGCCATATCGGGACTTTCCCCCCCCTTCACTAAACTGGGCGTGGGTGTAGCCAGTGTATGATGCATCTGGCCTGTGGGCCGGGAATTTGACAGCCCTGACTTAGATTAATAAGAATTCGTTTTATGCAACCATCTCATCTTAGTATCTACCGCTCACATAATAAAATTATATTCCATTCTACCTATATAATATTGTACTTTAAGAAAGCCTTTCTCAATATCCTGCATTCTAGATATTTATCCTTTGAATAGCACTGAACACACATTTTTGCCAAACAATTAGCACAGTAAAACTGATTTTTTTTTATATAGCTGCCCATCTCACATTCATGACAGAAATTTTTCTCAGAGATAATTCACACACATTTGCTTCATTTTCATCCCAAGTAATTTACTTACTTTATTGTCATTGCATCTCGTACAACGAAATCAAACACCATCTTCAGTGCACATCATAACCATGACCATGAAAATAAACACAAACACACATCCTTCACCCTTGACACATTGAACTGGAAACCCCTGACACCACACCAACACTGCACTATACAGCAGAATTCAAAAGAGCTACTGCCCTGGGATAGAAGCTGTTTTTCAGACTATTTGTCCTTCTTTTTATTATTGTGTACTGTCTGCCAGATGGTAATTGTTAGGAATGTAAGTCACCTAACAGCTATTTGGGTTGGAAATATATAAACCAGGATAGACATTTTAATACTGTATCTTTAAGAAAATGCAAAAGTGTAATTGGGTGTGGTTTCTCAAAAGGCCATAAGATGGAGCCAGAAACCTGGGTTGTTTAGTCTTAGTCCTAGTCTCAGAAGAGAGTGTATCTAAGTGAGTCTCTGTTTCCTACTGTTGG